GAAGTACGACAATAATACATTCTCCGAGAAAGTTTTCGCGCCCTTTTCAAGTCTCCATTTATTGAAAACATCATAGGTTTGCAGATATCTATCACATGATTTCTGAGGAAGAAAACTGAATTTAGCATTCAACACTTGTTGTTTTAATTCTTCAGGTGTTAAATTGCTGTTTTCGTCACTAGACTCACTCATATTTTATGAATTTGTGATATGCAACACTAATTGTAAGTAGTTACTTACCGAAAAACAAAAGAAGAAGAAATAATATTGATTTTTGTTTCCCGCTATTTTTAAAGTTACGTTCTGAAACTGCACCCGTAGTATTCTGTTGTACCAATAAAGATTTTTAAAACTATAAATTATTTGTGCATAACTACTTCGTATTTTTTCTAAAACATTTTCTTTACTTTTTTCTTTATTTCAGTGTATTCATTATATTTTATTATTTAATTAGATATTTAATTACAACGTTACCAAATAATTTTCATTTTAAAGGTTTATTAGTTTCCGAACGTTTTATTGTTTGGGTGTTCTGAAATTTGATAAATCGAACTTCGAATGACGTGTTTCGTACATAATGATAATCCGCAGCATTCTAAATTCAAATCACTTTCCCTCACTCTCTCAGGGAAAACGCGTTTCCCTCACTGTTATTAAGCAGGGAACCCAGTATGTTTGAGCTGCTAAGGTGAAAATAAATGAAACCTTCAGGCATTTTTTAATTTAAAAAATATAAGCACCTGGTTCAGAGTGACAAGGCCATAGAAATGCTACTTTTTCACATTAAAAATATATTCAAATTTAATATAGGACGGGCAATATGCCATTAATGGACATACTTTATGAAATAATGGAGATTTAATGCAAAATGAACCATAATCATCACCAATGAATAAACACCAAAATCTAGCGTATGAAACACTTCGTACTCCAGTGAATGAACGTTTAGCGTTGCATATTAATTAAGCTAGAAATCACAACTATCTGATAATTTATTTACTTAATATTTGATTTTAAATTAATAATATAATTTTGAATTAAAACGTAATGATATGGTAAACTTTATCTATATAGCCAATTTTTTACCTATAATTAGATAGGTTATTAATTTTACCCCATTTGATGTTAGGTAGTGGTTAGGGATGCAAAGTCTTTTGAAATATCGATATTTATATCGAAGTCAGGAAAATATCAATATCTGATATATCGACCATTTTAACTCGATATTATCGATATATCGATATCTTTTTCTTTTTTTTGCTTTGTATTAAGTTTGCAAAGCAAAAACCTAAAATTAAGGAAGCAAAGGTTTCCGAAATATCGATATTTATAATGTGGGCAGGTAAATATCGATATCCGATCCAATATATCAGCCATTCCAACATTTCCAACACGATATTTTCTATATTTTTTATAGCGCTGTAAGAAGTATCAAATCAAAAGCAATTTCGAATCAAAGATATTTATTTTGTTTAAAATATTTGCACGTAGCCAAAATCAGAATAGATAATCATATGAAAAACAATTGTTATGAATTAGTAAAACCCACACATCAGGCTTCAGAATAGGGTAAGCCCAAAGCTTCCAAAATTACTATACCTATCTTACTTTCTTGACTTGGCGAGCTTAAAAAATTTACGATTTGTATAAGATTCTTAATTTTATTTTGTGTTATATTACAATGATATTAAATTTCAATTAATCAGTAGTTGACAATTATCTAGAAAGAGAGGCAAGGATTTTATTTAAGTGCATGAGTTACCATTAGGTATACGATTATACCTATTTACGTTGGTGTCGATTCTGGCATGATTATCTAAATTTAAAACTAAATTTAACATCAGTCTCTCCTTTTCATTCTGTATAGAGAATGACAAGGATACACTGTTGTCAAATTTAATTTTAGGTTTAGAGAATCTTGCCAGAATCCACACTAGTTTAGTATATTTCTTGGGGTTCAAGATTTTTTTAATACATCTATAAGCTCTTACGATTTCAAAGCAATAGTTATTTCGATATTATTCAATTTAGACAGTCACAGCAGGTAAATTAATTGATATTATTGTGTTTAAATTTAGTCTACGAAATATCGATATTTTGGAATTTCCGATATCGATATTATCGATATCAGTGAATTTTAAATATCGATATAAATATCGATATTTTGGTCTCGATATTATCGATATTCCGATATATCGTTGCAACCCTAGTAGTGGTGCACTCCATGCGCGAAGACTGGCTGTTGCTATAGTTTCACCTGCCATACCAGCTACCCACACTTTGCCAGCCTGCAAAAATACTTCTTCACACCTCTTTAAATTCCCTGGTTTGTAGGAACGTCCGCAGGCAAAGAATTTCAACTGCGAATAGTACGATGTTGAAATGAGTCACCTAACTTCCTTGTTCGCACTAAAATCGTGGCTATAATAAACTGATGGTAACGCGAGATATCGCGAGAGGTTCTATGAAGGAAAGATAGTATTATATCCTCAGAACACTCATCGTCGAACATCATGACATTATTGACAAGGGCCTCGATGTTGTTAGTCACCTCTAAATTGCCAATGCTGCGGGTCACGCTACGCAGCTACTTTACTTGTGACGCAGGCAAAACTTCTGTTTACAGACGACGGCGCCTTTAAGAGGCTCACCGCCGAACGGACCTCACACCTGGCTCCCGCAAGCCTTACGAGTCCCCGCAGTGGCTGCCCACTGAGGACCCCGTAACTCTTACGGGCGCTTTACGGCATAATATCCACTAAAAAACCCTGCGAATACCCTCTAAGCTGCTTAGTGCGAAACCGCGGGATCCCCGTTTACGGATTCTTCCGGGTCACGCTACGCAGCTACCTAGCCAAAGCATTGAGATTCTAAGAGATGCGAAGAATAGTTACATTTTATTTTTTACAATAATTTAAGATGATTATGCGTGTAAAAACGTAACGTCTTGTTAAGAAATCCGAGTTTTAGTAACCTGTATCCTAAGTAACCTTTTCTCTGTATCATACACTTCTTCCTGATGTCATGTTAGGAACCCAAGTTAAGCTCTAGTAAAATCCAGAGTACTTGAAATTTTTACGTCGAAAGTTAGTTACGTTGATGACGATTTCTAGGTATCATGGTTTACTTTATTATTTCACCTATTGCTTCATGCTTTATTATTATATGGAAGAACTGTTTTTTTTTTGTAACTAATACACAATCAATTCTTACAATTTAACAAAATATATAAATTACGTTTATGGGTTCCAAATAACCAGTAATTTAACCTGGCATACCTACACTACCTAAACAATTTGGTGGAAATTTGTCGAATGTTGTGCGCGGCGTGCGACATAAATTTTAATAGGATGAGGAGGAGCTCGTTGATGCAAAGCATACTTTTGTTGTTACACCACCTTGATTGAAAATAATTGTGAATATTTATGACTAGATTCTGTATTGTTCAAAAAGAAAGCTTTCTTTTATAGATCACATTTGTGTCATGTAACTACATAAGTCATTACGTTGGAATCAATGAAAGCCAATCATACCGGTAGGTAAGTCCCTAATGTGCTGTTTCATAGGGTAATTCTTATTCTTTAGATAATATTTTAAGGCGTAGGACACACAGAAAACACGTCAGACGCAGTCAGGGCGCGGACATTGCCATTTTCATACAAAATGTAAAAAAAAAACTAACGAAGCGACCTGTACATATTTCCCGCATGTTGGCCGTAATGCTCTATATTCCTTGCGATGACGACGGCTGGCCGCGTCGATCGTGTTGCTCTATGGATGACGGATATAAACGATTTTAACCATGCGGTTAATTTTTCGTTAATAACGGTTATATAACCGCATTTTGTGCTTGTTACGATTAGCAAGCATCGTTAGATAGTGCTAGTGGATTGAAATGCGCAATGTAAGAGGGGCGGAAGCATTACTAGCATTACTCCACTCGCAAAAAATAACATTATTATATTAAAAAACAATAAAAACGAAGAATAAGCTTACACTTAATAAACTACCTATCTTTTGTTTCTATATAATCACTTATTACTGAATACAGTACAGACTAAGTTTTTAGGGCAAGGGAGATTTTCTATTCAAATTACCTATTCTCTTAACATAACAGCAATAGAAATGTACGGACAACATGTTGTGACGTTATGCATACCTTAAATGTTACTATAATAATCAATCTAACTAAGTACGCTTTGTGAGATACATTTGAAACAGTTTTAGGTACTAGGTATAAATATCCATTGTAGGTATAATGGCCACAAATGAATTGTACACAATAAAATACTCTGTACACATCTGCGCCGTAAAATTAGCAGCTGGACTATTCTATGTTTTTTATTTCGCTCCCAGGCCCACATCGTTAAGAAAGTATGCCCAAATAACAAATATTTGCTAGTTAATATAACCTCTCTGCATTAAAATATATATATGTTTGAGGAAATCTGGTTATTTATAAAGATATATTTGTGTTTCCAATATTTTGTCGTTTAAATAAGCGCATTTTAATTTTCTTCTTACTACATAATTGATAAATGTTTAATTTTAGTAGATCCAAACTAAATGACAAGCGATTTTTGTTTGTAGAAATGTTAAATACTTATAATATTTTATGCGTTTTACTATACATTTAACATATAAAAGTTAATGTCGGTATGCATATATAACATATATTAATAAATAATACAATTTAGGGACAATATCGTGGAGTATCACGTATTCCCTCACAACTTTTTCAATGGCCGTCCTTTTTGAAGGTTGAGTTCAATATAACACACCGAGCAAAGGCATTAGTCTTTTTATGCGCCAACACCTAAACGCGCAACTATGCACCGAACAAATTAACACAGGGTTTTTCATTATCATTGACACAGAAGATCATTGCTCAATCTAGAGAGCGCTGCTGAATCGATCCATTTATGAATGTCAACGTTTGAATCAGTTATGTTCACTATATAAATGCTACACTTGACCTTTGTCGTCATTACTCCGTCAGTCGTCACCGCTGGCATGGCGCGTAAGATCGCCGCGTTGCTGCTGGTGGGCGTGGCGTCCTGCATGGAGATGCGGGAGACGGTAGAAAGGATGGTCATGGTCCGAACCACGGGCTCCGATCTACAACCCGCCGCCACAGGATACATATATAAAAAAGATAGCGATGGTCCCGCTAGTGTCATCAAAATGGGAGAGAGCGAAGTAATGGAACATTTATCTAAACTTTATGAACAACCTGAGGCATTTGCCGCACCTATACCCGTAGCTGCTGGCCCCTTTTATGCAAAAGAGGAGGACGGGATAAAAGCAGCTTCTGGTAAAGCTGAACACGTTATCCCTGTGGTAGAAAAACCTGACGAAGAGCACGATCATATTGACGGAATTGCTGATGAAGATTATCAAAAAATGTTCAAAGAATACGCAGCTGAATTCGGAAAGTACAACGACGATTATGCCGATTATTTGCATGGGTTAGGTTATTTCGATCATGATATTTTCCACGGTTATGGGGGCGGAGGTGGGGAAAAAGTTGGATCAAAAGGATATAAAGATGACGGGGACAAAGGTTACAAAGGATATGCGGACAAACATCATTACGGGAAAGGAGGCGCAGGCGATTACCATACCGAAAAATACGAGAGATATTCAATATCCGAGGAAAAGGGCCATAAGAAAAGTTACGGCGATGCCGATGCATATGGAAAACATTTCGACCAAGGCAAAGGGAGCAAAGGAGATGACCACGGCCACAAAAAGTTATACAGAAAAGGTGAAGAGATCGACGGATACCATAAAGTCTTCGACAAAGACGAATACAAAAAAGATCACGACGTATTCGATGGCGAAGACGTCAAAGGTGGCTTCGGAGAGCACGCTGATGGACACACTGATCACGGATCAAACCACGGAAAGTTCTCGAGTGGAGACGCGCATGAATCAGACCACAACGAGTCTGATTTCGGAAAGAGTGGTCTCCACAAACAGTATGCCGGAAATGACAATGGAGCAGAGCGATCTTCCGAAGAAGGAGGAGAGTCCTCTCATCATCAAGAAGGTGGGTTCGGAGCGAAGGACGGAAAATACAACAGCAAAAGCTACGGCTACGAGATCAAACACTGACGCGGCTTTGTTGAAGATAGTTGTTACAATTTTGTTGACTTTTGGTTATATTTTGTAAATATGTGTAGTATAAGAAATATAAAAGTAAGCCATGTTTTTTCATTTAAATCGTTTTATTATTGATGGTGGTGTAGAGAAAAATAATCATCTGGAATATAGAAATATAAAAAAAGACTGATGTTAAAAGCAAGATTGATATAATTAAAACTATTATGTAATAGTATCAACTGAAATAAATTTGGTAAAAGTTGAGGATAATGGTAGATAGTGTATCATTTAATACCTAAGTTACTTTATGGAGTGAAACTATATGTAGGTAATCAATTATCATAAATTAATAGGATCAAATTTATTATTTAAATCTAAAAGTATGTCTCTTAAATCTTAATAAACAATATAAATATTTCAGTAAAAGTTGATTTTAATTGGCCATTTATGGAATTATCATTACGTTAATTTCGATTTTGACTTTTGTCTTAATTATATACCTCGAAGGACCATCATTTTGTATGGACCCCGGCCTCACTCTGCAACAGACACGGAATGCGTGTGGATTTGTTCATTCGTACTCAAAAATGGACAAAAAACTTTTTTTAATTAGGAAATCGATAGAGCTTAATTATAATTAATAAAAAATAATTTTGGAAAAATGTGTTTCTTATCTTACACACATTTATTTTACTTAAAAAAATGAACTCGAACTGAAAAATTATTGACCACAAATCCAATGTCCAACCGAATGTTCGTTTTTAACCGACTTCAAAAAGGAGGAGGTTCTGAATGCGTTATTACATGTTTTGTATTGTTGTTCACGTATCTCTCCGAGGTGCGTACTGCTAGTATTTTATAAAACCTGAACTCAATTTCTTCCCATTGTCCTTTAATCTTTTTTCACGAGTACAAACAGAGATACAAGTTGTAGATTTTGCATAAAATATTGGTGATATTGTACATCTCAGTCAACAAAATAGGGACATGCGATGAAATACAATGTCTATGGATTTAACACACGTGAAATGTTAATGATATTTCCGGCTGTGCCGTCCAAAAAACAATCGGTTAGATTTATGTCTTTGTTAATTCCCCAATAAATAAGAAACTACTCCCGGAGTTTCTGAGCGATTTTAAGCGGTTTTCAAATCCGGAGTTGAACTAAAATACCGAAGAAATATATAAATAATATTTATAAATCAAACATTTATGACGAAAAGTCACCTCTTGAGCGTAACGCGTTATATGATTATCTTCTCAATACAGCAATTCTATATTATTAGCCATAAAAAGTTGATTTTAATCATGACATGCATTGTGAAATAGTTTTTCTAAACGTTGAATTCAATCCAAGAATTATAATATAAAATTTTTGGTTGGCAGTCCGTTGGTTACAGCAACTCAGCTTTAAAGCTACTGGACCGATTGTGGGTAAATTTCGTTTACATTTTGTATACCAGAGATTCAAACTGGAAGAGTAAATAAAGTCTTTGGGTAGAAATTAGGAAATAAAAGTGTTCACTATGTTTTTCACGCTACCTACAAACAAGATGCGACATAGTAGCATGTCTTTAATATCAAATGTAAGGCCACGTTGTGAAGTTTTTAAATAATTGAAAATAAGGACTGTAATATAGGTTATTTATGAAAATGGGCAAATATAACCGCAAAACATAAAAAGGGCCGTGGATTTTTTTCTAATAAAAGTTTTTTTAGATTTAAAAATTTAGCAGTAGGTAAACTGGTAATTTTTTAACATAATTGTATTTGTAACATCCTTAAAAAATAAAAATACGACTACAATTGCTATTTCGTCTTTCAAATGTTTAATACTAGTAAAGGTATTCGTTTGACATTGTGGGTTACCCACACTGCAAAGAGATGACGCTGCCTTGCAGCCTAAAAATACTAGATAATTCGAAACGGCCTATAGGACCGCGGTAGCATAATGGTCAGTGCATCCGCCCAGATAGCGGAAGGTGCGAGTTTAAGTCCTGTCTGCTGCCTGAGCCGCGTGTAATTTCTTGTAGTAAAATTTTCTTTAGATTTAATCCTCTAGGAATTAAATGCTTAAAAAATAAATAGTAATGTATCTGTATTTATACAAACATTTCTTTGCGATACCCTAGTATCCATAATAAAAGTACCTATTACAGTCAACGATATTTAATATTGTTGCTTACAGTGCTTATTTTGGGGCAGGGTTATTGTATTTTTTTTATTTAGTCTGTCTGGCTGGCATCTATTGGTTACCAAAATAAATTGTTGATACCATATGACGATCCCTACAAGTTTTATATTCGCAGCAAAACAGTTTCAAAGCCTACCGATGCCCTTGAACTAATTTCGATCATTTTTTACCCGCATTAAAAATCACAGTAAAAAAGCGGCCAAGTGCGAGTTGGACTCGCCCATGAAGGGCTCCGTAGCAGCAAGTAACATAATATGTATAAAAGTTCTTGTAGTTCGTTGTAACTTTGATCGATGTTTTAATAATAGTGTATCTTTAATTGATTTGTGAACTATGACGTATTAAAAAATACTACTTGGTAGATCTCGTTCAAACCAATTTTCGGTGGAAGTTTGTATAGTAATGTACATCATATTTTTTTTTTGTTTTATCAGTCTCTTATTTTAGAAGTTACAGGGGTGGACACACATTTTACCGCTTTTCACCAGTGTAGTTCTTTTAGTTTCGGGAAAAAGTGGCTGTGACATACGGACGGACATGACGAATCTATAAGGGTTCCGTTTTTTTCCATTTGGCTACGGAACCCTAAAAATACCAGTCTAGGCTTGGAATATTGCATGCCTTAGCAGTATTTCTCTCCCATTCATAATATTAGTAAGTATGATACCTTACCAGTGATTTTGCCAGTAATTTTTTTGCCGTTAAATAATAAATAAATTAAAGGAGATGAAAAGACCCGTATTATAGAAAGATTCCCAGTAATCAATCTAGTCTTGAGCATTGTTAGAAAGGGATTATGGTATATAAAACTCATAGCGACATCCCTTTCTAACTGTACTCAAGTAAAGATCAACGCTTAAGTTGTCATTCTGTAATACGAGCCTAAGACAAAGTTGCGGGCACCTAGCTTCTGATAAAAGAAAATTTTGTCAAAATCTGAACTTTAAGAAATCTGCCGTAAATGGATTCTGCGTTAAACACCCTAAATTTATCCACATACTAGTTAAATATAAATAGGTGCATGACACGGAACACAGGAAAAGGTGCATGAGATGAAAGTGTCTTTACATTTTCACTGTTCCTACGCAATCGTATATGTGCAGTGCAATACTTAATAATATTGCCTGTACACTGGAATATTTAAATTGTTATGTATATTTTAAAGTCGATTTACAAGTTTGTAGGTACTAAGTGGAATTTTACAAAATTAATGTTAGAAGTACACCCTTAACTTTAAATATCCTTTGAAGTTTGATACTTATCATATGTACGATATGGATAGCAAGAAAATAATTCTTTATGTTAAAAACTTTGAATGAAAAGAAAATGCTCCATTAATCGATCACTTTCGTTTGAAGGTTTCCGTCTTGCTTCCAATTGACCTAGACCGACGAGCGGTGCGGAAAAGTGAATTTGTGTAGGTAACTGTTGAGAGTTTCATTTTTACCCGACTGCGCAATGCAAGAGCGCTAAGCGCGGCGCGCAGACAGGGTATCTATGTCTGTGCAGGGTATAGTGTTTAACAGTCTATTTACCCGACTGCGCAATGCAAGAGCGCGAAGCGCGGCGAGCAGACAGGGCTATACCCTGTTAACAGTCTATATATGTATGTTTGTTCCTTTGTGGCACACTAGAGACCAAACGCCTGGACCGATTTTGATGATTCATACCTCAATCGATTCGTCATAATCATGGGAGTGCTACTAAAGATATGATAGTAATCAAAATTCAATATGGGCAAAATTAGGCGCCATATTGTGACGAAGTAAAAAAAAATGTTGACAAAATATGTCGAGTGGGGTATCACTGTCTAGATAATCGAAAATGTTGTGTTTCATGTTTAGGTTCCTAACACCATTTTTCATTTTATATGATTGTTTAGGATCTACAACGCTTTAAAGTTCTATATTAACCACTTGCGCTTTAAATTTCAACCTTATGTTTGTATGGATCTTTGATACTCTTTCACCTAAAAAATACTGAATGGATTTTAATGAAACTTAACAGTAATATAGCTCATTTATGATAATAACACATATATATATATAATAATTTATGTAGTTATTGAGTGAATTGGCCAAAATATAACAATAAGTGTCACATAAGACGGAAAAGGATCTCCCACCTGCAAAAACAATAAAAGTTACATGAATGTAATGTAGAGTGAAAATGTATCTCTTAAATAGTTCTAAAAAAAGTTCTTGACACCATATATCTATTTTTAATGTGTAAGCCATTACCGGTAAAATAGTGAATCAAAACTTTTATATTATTTGATATCTATTTCCAAAATGCACATTTTGTATTAACAAATTATTTTTTATCAAAACGAATACTTTTATCGCATTTGATATTTAAAGACGATAAACTTTGCCTTATACACTATGTCATTTCGACAAATATTTAAAAAATTACAACGAAGACAAAGTGATAGCGCGGTGTACTATGTAGGAGTAGACTGCGGGAATACTAAGAGAAGAAATTTAATTTAGGTGTTTATAAAAGTGGATAAAACCTAGGCGAAAACGCAAAAAAATGGGCTACTTGCAGTATCTGATCCTATACGAAGTAATTACAAAAAAACTGTGATACAGTTCCTTCTTATTAAATGATGAAAAATAAATTATCATAATAGGTATTTATGATTATTGAATTTTAACGAAAAACTCAGAATTATACTGTTTTTAAATATTTTGTAACCATATTACTTAATGTTAAAAAAAAAGGTTTACTTAATATAATGACAAATAACCCATTTTTCGCTAGTAGGTACATACTTTTTGAAATCCCTGTATTTATTTCAGCTCGTGATAATATTGGTTTTGTAATTATAAACGATAATTCTGCAAAATTCAAAGTAAAGAATAATATAGATATTTATAGGTAAACACCCCTTTCATCACCCTATAAGTATTGCGATGTTGTAGCTAAGAACCAAGTTCCCATCTACTTCTATAGGGGCATTCATTATAATCGACTAGCAAACCCGGCGAACTCCGTTTCGCCACCAGATAGATGGCTTCGTTTTATGTAACATTTCGTTTGGTGATTAAAAGAAGTTTTTTTTTTAATATTTCCTGAATTTTCTTTGCTATAAACCTCACGGAGCCCGAGACCTTTCCAACGAATGCAAAACCGTGGAAATCGGTTCGTACGTTCTGGAGTTATAGCGTCAGGAAGGAAAACCCGACTTATTTTTATATAGTAGATTTAGCTATTAGGGCACGGAAGCGCAACAAACAAACTCACTTTCGCATATATAACTTACTAGTGATCCACCCGGGCATTGTACGGGCGAAATTTATTTTATCGGGATAAAATATAGCCTATGTCACTCGGACAAAATATATTTAAATAAAGAAAAATGTAATAATAAATAATGTAGCTACCTTATGATGAATTAATATTTGAAACCGGTTCAGTAGTTTGACAGATTATTTGTTACAAACATACAAATCTTGCCTCTTTATAATATTAGTATAAATAGTTAGGATAATAGTATTTAATTGATGAAAAATTTTAAAAATAAAGTTAGTAATAGGTTTATTTGATTATATTTGTAAAAGTTACTAAGCATTTCTGCTTAACATTGATACATTATTCGGTGTTCTTTTTTATATAAAAAAAATGTTTGAAAAATAATTGCCCTGATTGCACTATTTGCAATAGGTACCTACTAGGCTGTTAGCAGCACGCTTGATAGGTGGAAGTACTCTTCATTCGAGCTTTACACTACCAATAAAAAAGGGTCGATCACAAAGTCTTTGACCTGTTATATGTGAACGCTTTAAAAGAAAACTACAAAGAGAACTATAAATTGATAATAAATGAGATTGTTATGGTGCTCTACCTAACGCTATGAAAATTTTATTATACGCCTTTAGTTTAATCAAATATTATAAACTGCTTTGGTGATTGCATAATTATTTAATTTAGCGATCTAAGGCAGTTGCCACCATTGTCCAAAACAACAGACGGGAATTACTGCTTTCTTCAACCTACGACATAAACTTCATTGTGGGTATTGTATATAGGGTGATTAACAACATTTGAAGTTAACTTCTGGCATCTACATATTGGGGTTCTGTGAATTATGTAGGTATATCAAATTATGAGACTAGGAAATGACACTGCATTTGTGTATATCACAATCGTACAGCCGGACGTTGACATGACAATGCAGCCACTGACAATTTCAAATAGTCGACGAATAAAAGTAAATGACTTTTATATTTAGTGCTAAACTACTAAAAAGAACATAAACAAAAGATGACTTTTTGAATAAGTGCTAGTTTTCTATAAAAATTACATACATTAAATATTTATGTAACGACTTGACTTAATTTCACACATTTTTGTGAAAATTGAGGCCCATCTGTACCCTTAACCCCGCTGGTAAAGTCTCTATATGTCTTAATAAATCAATCTTTTAGACCACCGCAATGCACTTAATAATTCCCGCGATAATAATTCCCTTACTGAAGTAACAAGACTACGGTATATACCGTCTTAAAATACTAACTAAAAAGTCTGAAATAAAAAAGGTAAATTTAAAAAACCAAAAAACCCGACTGCTTAATTATACTTCAAATAAAAACTGAAAAGAAAAAAACAAGTCCAGTAGTCTATAATTCTGTTAGTAAGGAACAAAGCAACTTTAACAGTCGGGACCCATTAGATATTCAAGAATACATAATATTTTTTAATAATTAACATTTGTTAATACATTAACCTATGTATTAACAAATGTTACCGTACGTTAACAATATTACTTTAATCTTAATTTTTTCCTTGACTTTATTCGATCAATCGATCAATCAAAAACATCTTAATTCAAATTGGATGCATAGTACAACTCTTTTATTTTATTATTTATCACTACGAAATTCACCTAGCAAAAGAGACTCGTAGGCTCACAGCTCTGCATTTCACGCCTATTAGACTATGGTCGGAACGACAGATAGTTGCACAATAGATGATTTTTTCATTACCAATGTCTTTGTCACCTTTAACCTCGCCTGATAAGCAAATTGTTACACGGTTACAAGAAAGGTCCGACAATACGCACACTCACGGTTCTTTTGTCTCTAACCTAGATATAAATATTGGGCAACCGTGTTATCAAATTATTACTGCACAGTTTGTGGTGCGATACACATCTCAACATGGTGAAGATAGCTCTAGGATTATCGGCGATAGTGGCGACTGCCACGGCGATTCAAGTCGGGTTAGCTCCAGCAGCTACCGGTTACATTTACAGAAGTGACAACGATGGACCAGCAAGTCTCATTCAGTTAGGAGCCCATTCATATCAAGAACCAGCATTTGCAGCACTACCTTTGGCAGAACCATTAAAAGAAGCATACGAAGCCTATGCTTTAGGACCAGTGCCTCTACCTTACATAGCCGCGAAACCTATTGTTCTCGAAGACGCTGAAGATGATGACGACGATGATGATTCAGAAGAACATCACGATGGTGGAGACTTAGGTGGTCTTCATCACGGACACGGCTTTGAGAAAGGAGGTGGTAGTGACTATGGTGAAAAACATCATTCGGAACACGGTGAAAAGGGAAGCAAAGGTTATCATACTAAAGGACATCACGCTAAAGGTAAAGCTGGACATTATGGCGAGGAGCATAAGGAAGGCTTCCACAGCGAAGGTGAAGGTGAAAAGAGCAGTCACCACGACGAAGCTGATGCTTATGGCAAACATCACGAAGCAGGCGGAAGCTACAAAGGAGGTGATCACGGACATAAGAAGCACCACAGCAAGGGCGAAGATATTACTGGTTACCATAAAGTGTTCCACAAGGATGAATTTAAGAAGGATCATGATTTTTATGACGTTGCTGATAAAAGCGGTCATTTTAATAAGCATGGTTATGAGAAGGAGCATCACGGGTCTGAAGCAGGTGCACACAAGAAGGGAGGTCATCATAACTCTGGTCATGACAAAGGTGAATTCGGCAAAGAAGGCTTCCACGCTAAAGGTCATTCTGACGACGCTGACCATGGTCATTCTGCTGAAGAAGGTCATGAAAGCCATTACAACAAGGAGGGTGATTATGGCGAAAAGGGTGGAAGCGGCCATGAAAAGGAATACGTGTATGCAGATGACGATGATGATGATGACGACGACGAAAAATATTGAAAGAATGACGACAACGAAAAACGACTTTTGTAAATACTTATTTTAAAGTTCTTATGATTTTGTTATGTTTGATATACTTATTATGTGATCATTTTAGTACTTATAATAGTCTTTTTTATTACCACTCACGAATAAATTAAAACTTTTAAATATTACTCAATGTTTTTATTTCTTACAGTGTCGTTTATGAATACCTAATTGAATAGCTTTCATCGACAGTTTTTGTTGAGCTTCAAATATAACCTCGATGTCTTGTTTACGCTATTATGGAAAACCTAGTAGGTTGGAGTTTTCATAATTTGTTTTACTTTGTACTAATCGAAAGTTGCTGACAGTCGAGCATAACAAAAAAATAATTAGGTAGTAAAGTATCTACCTAATTTGATTCTGAAATCGCAATAACGTAATATGATTTCTGAATAAAGTTAGGTAACTATATTAAACTAATGTTTTTAAAAGACAAGGCCATAGAAACAGAACGTCCGCGTCGACATAAATGAATATCGCCTATATCGCTATATGACTATTGGCTTTAAAAATTACTCAGATTATTGATATTTTATTTATGGACATGTGTAAACTAGAAAAAGTCTTGCCTTAAGTAATATACTGGTATCCTTTAACCACAATAAGTTATATCTTAGCTTACGTTGAAGTTTTATATAAAATTAATGATGATTTTTTGTGATATTCCTAGTTAGTATGAGTTACTTGTAGTAGCAATTTTTTCTAACTAAAATTATACAGTGAATCGTAATTAAAAAATGGTGACTGTTAAAAGTTGATGCGTTTTATTGCATAGCTGTGTTTTTATGAGCGACAACAGGAATGCGAAGTAGATATTGGTGTTCTTTCACTGGTGATTTTGCATTAAATATCCATTACATATGCCCGTTAATTAATGGAATATTTATTGCACTTGACTATATTTTTAATTTGAAAGAGTAGCATTTATATGGCCCAGTTAAAGTAGGTGCTTATAATTTTGAAAGTTCCAAAATGCCGTCATTCATTTGCTTGGTACCCTTACCCTAGTTATTAGATAAAAACATGGTTGCAGCACTTAAAGTTATACAGTATTCAATTATTTTAGAGCTAAATTTAAGTTTAAAATTTCAAGTTAACAAGTTTCTTATCAAAAATGATACATGTAACACTTTTTTTATTAACTCAGGCAAGTTCAATTATGATACAGTCGAATATGAACAAACTCATAATATAGCAACTAGCAAGCTTTCTTTAAACGTGCATGGTAGGATAAATACATTTTTATAATGAAAAAAGTCCGTTTAATTTGGCCTTAAGTGTCTTTACAATTCAATTAATTCTGATGTAATCTTCGCGCTAGATTCTAAAAAGCAGTAAAGATTAGATTTTTCTAGAAAGTAATAAACTTAATTGAATTTAATTAATTACCTAATTTCACAGTTTTCTCAATAGGCACTGTAGTACAGTCAATCTGTAGGTTGAGTAGTGAAAAAAAAACCTAAAGGGTAAGTCTTGTTTTTTCTGTAACCAAATGACGTCAGTAAGCCACCTTGGCGATGGGCATGTTCAACTCGTAGGCGTTTTTTGAAAAACTCAAAAAAACCCTCAAAAATTTTTTGAAACGCATTCTTGTTTTGTATGCATTTTAGAAACTTTTTTTTCGACCATAATTGTAAAGGGCGTTGAGTACTACAATTTATGTCATTGTTGTAATCTCGTACAACAAAAAATGCGCATTTGTAGGTGGCGCTAAAGTCTCAAAAAAGTGTTTTTTCACTTTTTCACCCTGAAAATATCATTTTAATGGAAAACTTTAAATGGAAAAGTTGTTCCGTACATAATTACCAACAACTTTTGTATAAACACTTTTTTGTATTACTTACTGTTTTCGAGTTATAAATTGCGCAGGTATGAAAAATTCAATAGAGCGGTTTTTGGGCAGTTCAAGTACACATTTGCAGTGCACATTTCAATGTACGTTTTTACTATTTTTTTTTTAATAATGAAAAAAAATAAAAAATAGAGCGGTTTTGGGCAGTTCAAGTACACATTTGCAGTGCACATTTCAATGTACGTTTTTACTATTTTTTTTTTTCAATCATGAATAAAAATAAAAAATAGTAAAACATACATTGAAATGTGTACTTGAACTGCCCAAAACCGCTCTATTGGATTTTTCATACCTGCGCAATTTATAACTTGAAAACGGTAAGTAATACAAAAAAATTGTTTATTCAAAAGTTATTGGTAATTATGTACGGAACAACTTTTCCATTTAAAGTTTTCCATTAAAATGGTATTTTCAGGGTGAAAAAGTGAAAAAACACTTTTTTTGAGACTAGCGCCACCTACAATGCACATTTTTTGTTGTACGAGATTGCAACAATGACATAAATTGTAGTAATCAACGCTCTCTACAATTATGGTCGAAAAAAAAGTTTCTATAATGCATACAAAACAAGAAAAATGCGTTTCAAAAATTTTTTGAGGGTTTTTTGAGTTTTTCAAAAAACACCTACGAGTTGAACATGCCCATCGCCAAGGTGGCTTAGACGTCATTTGACAACAGAAAAAACAAGACTTACCTTTAGGTTTTTTTTTCACTGAAACGATTTTTTTTCGACAGATTTACTGTATTACTGTGTCTGTTTTAACTGTCCTATTATTCTAGGAACATAATTTTAAATAAATAGTATAGTTGTAATAAAAAAAAACTATTATGTTATAATTCGATATGAGGTTCTCCAAAAAATAGAACTTGAGATTTGTACGCTCCTCCCTAATGAAATCCTTTCCTATTTGGACACATAGTAAAAACCGAATAAGCACTAAGTACCTATTAGTAAAACAACTTGTTGTACCTTACATAGTCTAAGACCTATTCCCAGCAGGAACAGTGACTTTTTAGCACATTTCTAGGAATGTCTCTTAATGTCTTGAATGGGGATGTGTCTGGTCTCGATTAGATGAAACGATAGTTTATTTAACTTTTTTTAGTCACACACTTTCAATTATTAAGAAAATCCATGGACTCCTATCAGCTAAGACTTTAAGAATTGAAAACACACCGTACATTGAAAAATCACTTTAACGGGCACTTTCATTATGCTTATTATAACCATCTTTGAGGGGCTAACTGAGCTCCTTTAAAAACTTTTTAGGAAACCCTATATTATTAAATAAGTAAGACGAACAAAATCATTATATAGGGACCTAGAACTTAACCGAGAAAACATAAAACAATGAAGTTAATAAGTTGCAATATCCTTCGCAAAAGGTTTTTGCGGAATAGTCTAACAAAATCAATTAAATAACACACCAAGTGGAACAAAATGTTATTATAGTATGAACCTGCGTAATTAAATTATAATCGATTACCAATTTTATGCCATCGAATTAATACATAATTTTATTATTATTATATAGGAGAGATTTTAACAAAGTGTAATTACGGGTTTGTCGTTATTGTTAAGATTCAAATTCAATGTAGAAAATAAAGAAATAAAAGCATTTGAAGCAAAGCATTATGTTTTATCAGAAAAAATGCTAAGCAAAAAGTAGTGTTATAGTAAATATTTGCGTTTTCGCTGTTTATGAGTATCTTTTTCATCTGATCAGAATGATTCTTGATGAATCTTAGACAATAGTGATTTGTAGTATCAATTCACTTTTCCACGTTCCACAAAAAACGGTCGGTTGTTAAATCAATGAATCAGTCTGACACGAAACCTTGACCGATCTGAGTCGTTACACCTTTTAGCTATTACAACTTTATCGATGCAGAACAAATATAATAATACTCATCTTTATGAAAAAATCATCCTTGCCGGTCAATTTTGTATAGAGGCTATATAAAACTGGACTGATGGCATGTATGTCAGTGTCGCAACCTACTTCAATTGCGCTGGAACAAGAAAAAATCAGGACATTATGCATAAGAAATTATGTTTCATATTATCATTGACCGTTCTTCGCTATTGGACCGAAGCATCGCCAGTGAACCTAGGCACTCTGGAATTCGATAGACTAGATACAGATTTGGACGACCTTAAATATGAAGTTGAAGAAGAAGACCTTGACGACTTAACGAAATATCTGGACGATAGAGCTGAAATAAATGGAAATGAAGATAAATCTAAAACCAAGTTGAAAGCATCAGGTTTTAGGAAAAATGATAAAACGAATAAAGGTCTGAAAAGCAAGCATAACATTCTAGATCTGAAAAAATTGTTTCAAATCATAGGAGCCAAAGATCAGGGATCATTCAGTGATGATGAAATTTTTGCGGCTGCTGAAGGACTAGCTGCTGAAGCAGTTGGTGCTAAAGGAAAGGAAGAAAGAAAGTTTAAGAAAGGTACAAAAACTAGAGGATTCCACCGAGTGCATCATAAAGACGAATATAAGAAAGACAAGGAGTTCTACGAAGATGATGAAACTACTGGATCTATAAAGAAAGTAGGAGGAAAGGCAGTTGGATATAAAATTGGTGGCGGCATAGGTTTCGACAAAGGGCATTTTCACCATGATCGTCAAAAAGGGATTTTCGGAAAACAAGGATATTTGGATAAAGGATTTATAAATAAAGAGTACAGTGATTTTTCCGACGATCAAGGATACGAAGGTTCCTACAACTCTGATAGTTGAAAATTTATACTTTCAGCATTGGCTTATATTATTGGTAAATAATTTAGTAGGTTAAGTTTAGATAATTCATTTATTGTATAAACATATTTTTTATTTTATATCGTCTAAGTATATCAATGTTTGTAATAGATGACACACATTTTGCTTTTATATTTTATTGTGACTTTATGTTTCGGTTAATGTAAACGTCAGTATTTTGCATGATTCAAAATTACTTTTTTATCGTTGCTAAGTTTTATTTTAGGCAAGTTCTTTAAATGTCAGCACCTGAATAGCAAAGGACCCTGGTTCGAACTCAGATTGGTTGCTTAATGTTTAGTAACAGACTTAGAATAAAACAAAAAGGCTAAGTTAACAGTGAAAGAACTTACCTACGTACCTACATATTTGTATTAAGTTTAGAATAAAAAGTTTCAAGGATAAAAAGAATCGAAGCAACTAATGTGAGTGACATTTTCCAATTGTATAAATAAAAATCTTTTTTATTGTTTTTAAAAGTATCCACACTGGATTAAAATCGTGGCCATGCATAATCAAATTTATTTTAATTACGAATGTATGTATGTACTAAAGTTTTTATATTTATAGGTATATATAAATATATATTTATAGGTATTCGGTTTATCAACTCATTACAATTTATAGCGTAAACAAAGAAGGTGATTTTAATATTATTACCTAAATAGAAGTGAAATTAAAGTTTTGGGCTTACTGAAATGAAGTTTTTGTTTGTTTTTATTTTATTTGGTAAGTATACCTACCTTATTCAATTTTAATTTGTGAAATAGAACCTTTACATTCACGCAAATAGGTACCTAACTAGATTATTTATTTTTCCAATTTCTGTAATTTTCAACCCCTTTATCCTATCAACTTTTTGTGTTCCGAAATCTTGATGCTGAACTTGACTGAGAGTAAAGAAAACATAGCATACCTGTCAGCTACTAACTTTTGCATGTAGGTTATGAAAGATCCACCCGGCGGGGATAGTTTTGGATATTTAGTCTATACATCAAAGACTGTATGAGAATCACAGGTTGGCAATCTTAATAAGGATGTGCAGCGGGGCAATTTTTACTGGGGGTTATTTCAAGTAATGCCAATAACTTCCGTATTTAACTTAACTAATTAATACGCCATCTATATTCAAAATGTGCGTATAGCGTTTTTATAATTACTCCATAGATGGCATCGATAGCTCTTATAATGTTTAATTAACACGGTCTTCTTGTTTCGATAATGTTCTAAGAGTGCACTTGTAAATGGGCTCCTTGAATTTTTGGTATCAAACTTTTATTTAATATGTTTTTCATTCAATGGAAAATTAAACTGAAAAGAAATGAAACAAATGGCCTTTTGAATCGGGGCAGAGCAGATTTAACGCTTGAATTGGAGCGCCCATCTGGGGAAGTAATAACCTACACATAGAAGACCACAGTGAGATAACATTATCTTTAGTTGATGTTGTGTTTTGGAGAATTTCTCCTCACTAGATTTCAGGGCATCTTGGGATAAGGTTCAGACCATCAAGGTGGGGGTGGGGGATAGCTGGTTGGGCACATTTCTAACGCCTCAGTCAGCGCCATGCTATTGTGCATGTTTGTTTCTCGTTCATTCCGGTTGAAGTGTTATTGCGCTCTCTGTTACTAGTACCAAATTAATTACACTTTACTATCACAGGTATTTAAAACACAACTTGGTGTTGTTATTTTTTACAGTTATCCATTTTGTACACGCGGTAAAAGTGGTCCATTACTTAACATCCCATAAACCATGTTGTACTTCTGGTAGAAGATTCTTTATGAGTACGGGACAGTTATTGCCGAAGATTAATAATGTAGAGTCTAGGAGTGCTGATTCTCCTCAGCTTGAGCGGAGCGGACAGCCTACGAAGAATACAGAGCAGCAACATACTACTGCAAAGAAAACAATTATTGAAAGTGCCGAAGTAGATTTAGCCTTCCTTTGTTCCAAGTTACCTTGTTTGGTGTCAGATTTGGAACATCCTGTCTGCGCCTGCAATCATAAAACCGGCAATGTCGTAACTTTCCAAAATAAATGTGACATGCTGAAACATAACTGTAGATACAACACCGGTGAGTGATCATTCTCTAAATAAAAAAATGTTTCAAAAATACACTTCAGATAAATGTTAACGCTTACAGCTCGTCGTTTATAAAATGGCCCGCGGGCCATCGCCGGCTCTCAAATGGTTGAAATCCGGAAGGAAAAGTTTGCCCTGGTTTAACTTTATTTAGTGCATTCGCCCGGATAGCGAAGGGTGCAGAATCGAGTCCCGTCTGCTGCCTGGTCCGCGTGGATATTTTTCTAGTGGGTTTTTCTTTAGATTTAAACATCTAGCAGTTAAATGCTTATAAAATAATGACAATATTATAAAGGCGAAAGTTTGTGAGTGTGTATGTTTGTTACTTCTTCACGTCTAAACGTCTGGAGCGATTTTAATAAAATTTCGTATGGACTTAGCTGACACCCTGGATTAACACATAGGCTACGTTTTACTGCGTATAATATCCCTAATAAACCGCGAGTAACACCGCGGAGCATAGATAGTAATAATATAACTATAATTTCTATTTCTTCTTTCAAACGTTTAATACTTGTAAATGTATTCATTTGACATTGTGGGTTACCTATAATGCGAAGAGATGGCGCTGCCTTGCAGCCTAAGGGTACGGCCAGAGTGCACTCAGATTCAGATTCAGACTCAGAAAACAAGCGCGAGAAATAAACAGTGTAGTCTAAGCAGGTTGCCTGCTGCTACTATGGCCACCCTGAATCTGAATCTGAATCTGGTCGTGTCCGAATTCTCTCTAAGGCTAGAGAGAATTCGGACACGACCATCAGGGCCGCAGTAGCATAATGGTCTGTGCATTCACCCGGATAGAGAAGGGTGCGAGTTCGAGTCCCGTCTGTTGCCTGGTCCGCGTGAAAATTTTTCTAGTGGATTTTACTTTAGATTTAAAGATTAAATATATTTTTTCATATTGTAAGTTTAAATTCATTCTCAACATGAATCCCAATCAATAGATTCATTATTATGTTCATTTATCAGATAAATACATGTTATGATTAGTCAGATTGCGTTATAAAATAAATTCTAGTTTTTGATATAATTGGTTACAATTTTTTTTTGTAAATGGAAAAATCCTACTATGGAAAAGATAAAACTGAAATGCGTCACGATCACGAGCGTCACAGGCAATGATAGTATTTAATATCGTTGTTCACAGGACTCTATATATGTATGTGTATATGTGTATGTGTATGTGTGGGATGTGCACGCAACCCGACGAGCATGAAAGTTGGAATGTAACTCGGCGCAGGCTGAAACGCTACGAGCGTCACACGCGATAATATATGAATTCATAATATGAGTGATGTGTGCGCTGCTCCATTCCCCTTTTCCTTATGCATCGCCTCATGTTAGATTATTATTTAAGAAAAGAAGTCTCACTTCAGATGTGTGATGTGTGCACACAAATTTTTTTGGCAAACGATTTACAATGAAGTGCACTACATCTCATAAAAATTTGGAGTCTGCCGGAAACTTACTACCACCCTCCATACAAAGTTGAGTCGTCTCCTTTCTTTCTTTTGTTTCTTCTTTTTTTAATAAAATCTTTTTTTTTGTTTGCAGATTACAAGCCGATTTTATTTCAAATTTGTCCATGGGAATTTAAAAACCGAAGAGCCAATTTAGAAAATGATGATATTTAAATAAATAAATAGTTTTTTCGCCCCCATAATAGTCATTGAAGTTGGTCCTTGATGTTATGGCTACCTCCGTAGAAAAAATATATGGCTAATCCAATAGGTACCTACTTCGTCTTTTTATTTATTAATTATTATCATGGAACAATAGGTCCAGCCATTGCCCAAAATAATTTTCATAGAGATACTATCACTTATTTTAAATTATTTAATGCATTGTTCTTGACTTATCATACAAATATATAATTGTATAACACTAAAGTTTTTCATTTTAGTTACTTAATTAAAATTAGTGGCAAATAAGCATATTATGGTTCATCCAGGAAGGCTGCCCTGTGCACCTGTTCATCTGTTGTTCTGTGATCCTGATGATAAGTGCCCAAGAATTATAACCATAACAGGTCGCCAACATACCCTTTTTTAACATCAGGAAAATTCGTTACACATACCCCACCGCCTTGGGAGTGCATCGAGGTTATGTGGGACTCCTCCCCTCCTCCTCTCGCCCACCCGCTCAACCAGTCCTAGGGCTCGCTCAACGGCTGCTCGAGAGGAGGGGGACCTTATCCAATAAAAACCTGACGATGCACCTCACCTGACCTATAGGTTGAGGCCTCCCCGGGTATGGGATCCACCATCAGGCACCACCCCTCCCGACGAGGCAGCGGCACTGTGTGAGGCCATAGGAATCCTTACGGATACATCTACAGCCCCACCAGTGAGTGTCTGATTTGAACGAACACAGCCACCTTGGGGATGCCCTGAGGCATAGAGGGCATCCCCATCCATCTGCGCAGGCCTGTGCAATGGAGGGCCCGGGCCTCCCAAGTCCGGACCCATCTGGCTTCCGTCAGTGAGAGCTAAAAGCCGGTCGTATTGCCTTCTCCTAGTCCCCGCCCTCCGACGATGAAGAAGAGAAGGTATTTGGCGCGTATGGCTCGCTGAAACGCCTGAAAAACATGTTGCCGACCAAGACTAAAATTTCTCTTGTGCAGTCCCTTCTTCTTCCGTTGCTTGACTATGCCGATGCGTGTTACTCTGACCTTAGTGTTGTTCTTCTTAATAAACTCGAGCGTCTGCAGAATTTATGCATTCGATTCATTTTCGGTCTACGTAAGTACGACCATATTTCTCATTATCGTTCCCAACTTCAATGGCTACCCATTTCTCGTAGAAGAGACTGTCACATCCTATCACTCCTTTATTCTATCCTCTTTCATCCGCACACTCCTCTCTATCTTAAGGAGCGTTTCGCATTTCATTCTTTTAATCCTGTCCGTGATCTTCGGTCTTCTCATAACTTATCCTTAGTTATCCCACCCCACTCCACTGATTTCGTGGCCAAGTCATTTTATGTAAGAGCTGTTAAACTGTGGAACGCTTTGCCTTTGGATATTAAACGTGCACAGACGAGGGACTCCTTTACTATTAAAATTAAGGAATATTTCCTCAAGCTGGACTCTGCCTGATCTTTTTATCTGTTTATTACTATTTATTGTATTTTATAGCTTCCTTACATACTTACTATATTGTATATTATTATATTTATGTTTATTTATTTATTTTTACAATGCACTAGCCCGCTGATTCCACTATTCTTATGGTATGGTTTCATTTAGCCAAAGGTTGCCTGGTAGAGATTGCTACCTTAGCAATAAGGCCGCCTTTTGTGTTTTTGTTTCTGTGTTTTATGTTCTCTGCATTGTGTGTAATAGTGCAATAAAGAATATATTCATTCATTCATCCGCGTGGGCTTGTTCCTCACGAACCCTTTCCGCTGCCTCCTTCTGCTAAATGACATCCTCGCAGAACACCTTCTGAACACCTTCTGCAAGGATGTCATTTACTTGACCACCCCCGGCCAGGATCTGTCACTACCTTTTTTTTTAATGATGAGAAATTCTTTGACGGACCGTACCGCCCGCTGGCGAGGCGCACGGTGTGTGTGAGACTCACCCGGCGCGGGATATAGGGGCGGTTCCACCCACTAAAACTCACCGGTATCCTCTTACGCCCATGTGGACGCGTCTCGGGATCAGCGCACCTCTGTGTGCGCCATTTCACCGGGACGAGGATCTGCCACTACCTAGCATAGCTTGCACTATGCCAGGCAGGGAGAAATCCTCCCACACCGTCGCCACCAGAGTATGACGCTGCTGTGCATGCCGGATATTCCTCTAGAGAATGCCCCGCAGTGTCCACAGCCCACAGCAGCCCCGCACACATGCCACGACTCGGTCGCTTCTCTGGAACCCATGCAGATACTTCCCGAAACACCCGCGTCCGGAGAGGAGACTGCACTAGCCAAAAGTTAAGCGACCCCCAACCTATTGTCATCCAATGCTCAAGTACCGGGCGTAACGCGTGCAGCGTCCTTACTCCCGCTCTGGACGTTTCTATTTGCTGTAGCCAGCTTTCAAAACTAACCGACTTTCTTCTTCAAATTTAATTTTCGAACAATAGAATTTATTATTCATTGTGTGCTGTTTAGATAGAAATGAGTAGACAACAAATAGGTAGGTAGATGTCATTTAATTCTTCTTTATAATTTTTAAGATAATTTAAATTACAATTGAATCTGTAAAGCGTGAGTCCTAACTCCTAACATAGCAACTGTAGTTCACGTAACTTACTCTCTGTCAACCACTGTCCTGGCAGTCGCTTCGATCATCCATGAGCTTCCTCCCCGTGGAAACGCAGCCAGATGCGTTTGGAATTTGTAGCTACGAGTACCGTAGCGGTGAGAATTTGTAGACACAGCAGAGGTGAGTATTTACAGCCACAGTAGCCGCCTTAGTGCCCTTTGTTTGTGTGGCCAAGGGTAGTTCCCCAAATACGGGGAATTTACAATATCACTGAAGTTTAGAAAAAATAATCAATTAATATTAAAAATAGAATTTGAAATTAGAAAATCGACAGAAATATTATGTCTCGGATAAAGAAGATGTTAAGTCGACGCTGCAGAACGAGTTAGCCAACGCGACTCGCCGAATGCCCGCTCGGTCACGCATAGAGGATTCGATCCCGGGATCCCGGTCATATTTTAGTCCCTAAATTTTCGGGATTAAATGTAATGAATCCCGGGATTTTCGGGATTGATATATTTTTATATATATAAAAAAAAATGTGCGTGAAACGAAACGGGCTTACTTTCATTTGACGTTTTGACGGCCATCTTGTTTACACAGCTGACTTCATTTATTTTTGCTAACGGCCGGTACCGGATTATGTGTAAAAGTGTGTAAAAAAATGGGTGCGTGTACTTATGTAGGCGCGTGAGAAGTTATCCTTCTTTGGCATCGTTTAAAATTAGTTTTTAATTGCATGCAAATAATTAATTACAATAAATTAATAAAAAGTCTGGAAAAGGACACAGTCAATAAAGTTCAGTTTTAATTTGAAAAAATAAATAAATAATCAAAATATTCAATTAAAATCGCTACTGAATATAATTTATTAGAACATATGTGATTTGCACTTGTATGAAACTCAAACACGTATTCGGAATATACAAACTAGAAACATGTGGATAAATATTATAAATATGAATACCTATAACTGTTACTTTATTACAAAAAATAAAGATGTGGTTTTTGGTTCTACTACACCAATGGTCAAGAGATGGCGCTGTAGTCTCCTGAATCGCGCTTTGGTTCCGTTGTTCCAGATTAATAAATACTTTTGATATTATAAATATGAATACCTATAACTGTTACTTTATTACAAAAAATAAAGATGTGGTTTTTGGTTCTACTACACCAATGGTCAAGAGATGGCGCTGTAGTCTCCTGAATCGCGCTTTGGTTCCGTTGTTCCAGATTAATAAATACTTTTGATAGGCCTTCACAATGCAGTCGTTAGCACCCACTAAATAGAGATTCTATTTCTATTTTGTTGGTAGATTTTCTTAATGTGCGGTAAACACAAAAGTAACGCATGAAGTTGGTCGCTAAAGCGACCAACTTCATGCTGTTAAAATTTTGTGTTACAGTGATGCGCGCGCATCTTAAAATTTCACTCTCATCATTTTTTCATAACGCGCCTAAAGAAGTATAACTTCAAAAATCCGTTACACGTCGTGTAAGTATTGGTATTTTTTATTATTAATTGCTGATAAACAATGTTTTATTATAAAACAACTAATGCAATAATATGTCTGAGTAAATATAGATGACAAACAACGAGTGTTATTTTCTGTAGCTCTAAGAGGTTCTGTTTATGTTGTGCATAAAGATCAATCATCGAACATCAGCGATATTCATCATATATTTTATTATGTATTTCTGGAAACACACAATTTCAAAAATATCACACACTAGTCATCATTTTGTAAATATGTATTATAATTCCATCTGTACTGAAAATCACTATTCCAGAGTGCTGGACACTTACCGGCATTTCTCTATATTCTGTTATTTATTTGTTTTCAATAATTTTGCTCCGATTTTCATCTATTTTTAGTTTTATTTTATTGACATTTGTGACAACTTAATGTTTTTTATCCGTTGCCATGGCTAAAAGTGAAAGGTGCGCAGATGAGGTTGCGCACAAAAACGTAACGAGGTCATTAATGTCATTCATGGATAAATTTTATTCCTCACATTTTTCTCATACCGGGCCCCTTATATATGCAAATTGATTCTTATGAAATGAAATGAAAGTTTATTTGCATGAAACATAGTTTGTTATAGCTGGTAAATAATATAAAAAGTTCCATATGTTGCGCCCTTGAAAGAGCATACAAAATACTAATAAATTATCTATAAAAACCAAATTTAAATTGAGTAATAGTTGCATTCCAAATGTCATAATAACTATACATTATATTACACATAATAAACATGCACGGACCTGAAAAAAAGACGGACGTAATATCAAAGGCAAATCATGTGAAGCATGACAATGACATGAAGGTCAGACAAAATCGTGTGTTGTACACTACCTACACTCACACTAATGCACCAGGGTGACATCGACGACCGGGGGCAGCTTGTGCAGCTCCTTCGCCACGAATGTAGGCACGTCATCCGGATCCGTCTCCTTTAGTAGGGTGATTATATCCTGCACACTCTTTTCTGTGCCATCCCTCCGTCGAGATGGCATCTTGTCGGCCTTGCCGACACACCGGAACAGCAGCGCCTTGCCACTGCAAACCTCATCCTCCTTGAAGTTGGACTTACAGATCTGCAGGATGCTGACCTCGTCCATGGTGTCAAAGGCGTATTGTATAAACGCCAACAACTTGTTAGCTATGAGTTGATCGGAACTCATTGCTACCGACTCACGACGACTGTTGCCGTGTGGAGCGCGAATTAAATTCTTACTGTACAGTGGCGCACGACCGCTTGCAAGTACGCATCGCACTGCACTCCTGTTGCACTAATATGAGGTTTCAAATTTTACACATCATACGCGACTACTGTAAGGCCGTATACAGAAAGAAAGCCGAAAGCCGATCGGCGCCTATCGGCCTATCGCCTATCGGCGCCGATCCTTACTACATAAAGGAAGCCGATTAAAGCAGATCAAGCAAAATGTGGGACTCATCGGACGATGATTTGCTTTTGTTCGAAAATGTGTATTTAAAAATGCGAAAAAAAGCTATACATCCTATAAATAGAGAAAGGAAACGTTTCGGAGAATACCATCATTTATTTGTAAAAAAAATGAAATTTGATGATCAAAGATTTTATGCATATACAAGAATGACTCAAGAACATTTTATTACATTTTGGATTTAGTGAAAACCCGTTTGATGAAAAATTGGTGCAATTGGCATAAACAACCAATCCTTCCAGAAGAAAGACTTGTTGTCACCATTCGGTAAGTACGAAACAAATAATTTTAGCGCTTAGTTAATAAAAGATAAAGTTATTAGATTTATAAAGAGATTATAACTAAGATTGATTTAATCTAATTCAAATACAAAATTATTTATTATTCGGACAACATAGATCATAATGACCAGCTGACCAGCGCGTGTCGGCGCTTATCGGCGCTGATCGGCGCCGATCGGCTTTCGGCTTTCCTTCTTTTGGGTGCGGCCAGAGTGCACTCAGATTCAGATTCCGAAAACAAGCGCGAGAAATAAACAGTGTAGGGGTGCGGCCAGAGTGCACTCAGATTCAGACTCAGATTCAGATTTCGAAAACAAGCGCGAGAAATAAACAGTGTAGTCTAAGCAGGTTGCTTGCTTTTTCTCGCGCTTTGTTTTCTGAGTCTGAATCTGAATCTGAATCTGAATCAGGAGTGCAATCTGGCCGTACCCTTCGACTACACTGTTTATTTCTCGCGCTTGTTTTCAGAATCTGAATCTGACTCTGAATCTGAGTGCACTCTGGCCGCACCCTAGTAGACTACAGGTTGCCTGCTTTTTCTCGCGCTTGTTTTCTGAGTCTGAATCTGAATCTGAATCAGGAGTGCAATCTGGCCGTACCCTTCGGGTGCGGCCAGAGTGCACTCAGATTCAGAGTCAGATTCAGATTCTGAAAACAAGCGCGAGAAATAAACAGTGTAGTCTAAGCAGGTTGCCTGCTTTTTCTCGCGCTTTGTTTTCTGAGTCTAAATCTGAATCTGAATCAGGAGTGCAATCTGGCCGTACCCTTCGACTACACTGTTTATTTCTCGCGCTTGTTTTCGAAATCTGAATCTGAATCTGAATCTGAGTGCACTCTGGCCGCACCCTTCGACTACACTGTTTATTTCTCGCGCTTGTTTTCAGAATCTGAATCTGACTCTGAATCTGAGTGCACTCTGGCCGCACCCTAAGGCTCGCTCATTTTTTTTCTGTTTCGTGGTAAAGTTCTTTGGGCTCATCTGGTCACACGATTATAATAATGACGTAGTAGATAGTTGTACTTCAAAGACTAAAGATTACCTCAATTAAATTATCCTGTGATTTTAATCGTAATCTGTGGTATTTTTAATTGGATGTCACTGTCATTGTGTCAGTGGTGTATACTCTGTAGTTTATGGTTTTTGCTCATGCCTGCTGTGCTGAATGAAGTCAAGTGTTTGTGTAAATGACTGTGAAACAAAGACTTCTAATACGAAATAAATGAGGCTCGGCAGAGACTTACTGTTTAACATTACTCATGAGTACGGAAGAGACTCTTTTGAATCTCGATTTCGACAAACCGAATACAACAATTGCGCCGTCGTTGCCCGATGACGGCGTGGTATCATTGTCGAGTAGCTCGGAAGAAATTTGTTTAGTCCCAGAGGTCGGATTCGAGGGCAACGTGGATTCGCCAGGAGTAAATCGGGAATCGCAGCCGCTGCTGGGCGGCCGCGGTGACTTCGAAGTTTCGTTCAACCATTTTCCAGGTACAAATGTCGAACCTTAGTCTGAGTCATGTTATCTGCTTAATTGAATGTCGATGCAACTATGTTATAGTTCAGCTGCTGTATCAGTGACTAATACTGGGCACCTAATTTATCTTCTCCTGACACTTTTTAGTCTTCACCAAACTAGGGCTTCCATCCATATGAATTACTCTATGGTAGTATACTAACACAATATCTACTCACATAAACCCAAATAAAAAAACTTATTATTATGCACACAAACATTGAATGTTCCTCCCTCCCAATTCTAACTTCAGTTTTGTGTTAATTCAAAACTGTATTTAACTCACATGAAGATAGTTGCAGAATGAAGTTTTCAGTGGAGCGTAACATCTGTGTATTCAGTATTTCAGACAGTTTTAATTTTGTTGAAAAACAAACAATGGATCAACCTTTTCAATGTGGTGAGTTTAAACTATTAATAATACTGATCAGTTATTGTCACTTGTTGTTCTCAAACACAATTTAGTAATTGTTTATGACGAGAAAGTTGTTACCATATGGCAAAGATGCAGAATCTAATACCTACCTAAATCAATTTATGTGTTACTGTTTAGCTTCTGTTTATAATTTTCTCTTACTAATTTTGTTTAGTTAATTTTATGATGTAGTTAAATTATTCATTAATATTGCTAAGGCAGTCATACCACAACATCTTCTTTTATGCACTATTACTGTTATGTACCTACTTTAACTTCCATTATTTATTTATTGTAATGTGTTACAAGCCTACTTACCAGTTTTACTTGAAAATAAATTCCAATTTCATCATAACAAATGGATTATTGTACTGAATGCATCATTTTTAATTAATTGAATGTTACTGAGTTACATTTAAACTACAATTAAAATTTCAAAACAGTGTACAAAACAAGTATGTATAACATAACCTGCAAAATTACTTACTCCACTATAATTTGCCCATTTGGACATTTTTATTTAACCCTAAACTAATGCAGTCCCTCCATTTTTATTCTATACTAGCTGACCCAGCGAACTTCGTACCGCCTTAGCGTAGCTTTGATGCACTACTTTATTTTGTATAGCTGACCTATCTTATGTATGAGTACCTATTCAATTTGAACTGGAATCTATAATATCCTCCATATAAAAATGAATCCTTATTTCCCTGGTCTCGCCATACCTGAGGACTTTACTAATTTTTATTAAATAAAAAACAACATATATATTTTCATAATAGTGTTTATTCCATAGGGTTCAATTGCACTCATATTTTTACAAATCTCTATTGAACAACTTTGCATTTTGAAGTAAACACTAAGCTCAACACCACACGCGCTCTAGAAAGCAACTAATAGCCTCTATACCCTTCACTGCTTCTCTCTATTCTAATGCTTTTTGATAAACTATACGGTACGAAGTTCGCAGGGTCAGCTAGTCCATAACCGCGCTAACGATAATTTTATTAAGTTTTTGATAAAGTTCGTTTTGTTTTAAAGACTAAGAAGTTTTTTGTTTGCTAATAAGTGTTTGTTCCTGTCACAGATTACCACAGATTTTTTTGTTTTAAATTATGACGTTGACATTTGTCAGCGCCATTATCGATGTGGTGTCACAGATTACCAAAGATTTTTTGTTTTAAATTGAGTGACGTTGACATTCGTAACGTTATATTTTTCAATCTTTCTGAGAGATTTTCTTTATATTTCTTTCGGTAAGAACCTTGTACAGAGTATTAGAAAACTACAAAAAAAAATCAGCCAAATCGGTCAAGCCGTTTTCATGTTATGTCGTGACAACGGAAAACGGGTTTCATTTTTATATATATACTAGCTGTCCCAGCGAACTTCGTACTGCCATAAAAAAAAATGCGAATCTAAACCATTCTCAGATCCCCTTGAACACACACAAAAAATTTCATCAAAATCGGTCCAGTCGTTTAAGAGAAGTTCAGTGACATACACACTCACAGAAGAATTATATATATAAAGATAGATAGTATATGATAATATAAACTGCTATTTAATTGAATTTTACGTTCAGAGAATCCAGTATGAATTGGGCCCAAATACACCTCCACCAACCGACAAAGACAAATTTTAATCAAATACTCTTGGGAACCTTTTTAACAATTATAAGAAATAAAGACTGGATACTTTAAAATAAATTCATAACAAAAATTAATACCTTCCCATAACATAAGTATGTCAAGCCATAGTAGTGTGGAAATGTGAAGCATTTCTAAATTGTGAAACTAAAGATAACACCTAACAGGTTTACAAAATGTTTTGCATTATTTCAAGGTTATGTTAATTGATCATTAATACTAGGTTGTGTAAATACTTGAATATCATTTATTAGATGAGCCAATTTATAATGACTTGGTAATTTATAGTTCAATACTTTACAAGAAATAAGATTAAAAAAACAAAAAAAATTATTATGAAAATGATAATATTTTTTTTTGTTTTTGTCTGGTTCTGTTTACATCCTCTTTACCTGTTTATTTATAAAGAATCATCATCAGCCTATTAATGTCCCCACTGCTGGGGCACAGGCCTTCCCTATGGATGGAATAGGGAAAGGTTATATAAATATATGAAAATAAAAAAAATATTACAATAAAATGGTGACTGGGTTGAACCTGGAACCCTAGCTATATTTCTTAACTATTATATTATCTAATAAAACTTGGTAGTCATATATTTCAGATTGCCAAATCAGGTTCTCATACATCCCTTTGTTATGTTTAAATATTTTTAGTTGCAATAACACTGGTTTCACCGAGTAAAATTTTTAATACTTTTACCATAATAATGTACTAAATACAGGTATACTAAATACATTAATGAAAATATTAATCTGTAGATAGTTATGCGGTAAAAGTACTTATGACAGCATATTATAATATTCAAGATTTATATTTCTAAACAGTAAAGTGAGTCAACAGACATGAACTTTTTATTTTTATTATGATAAAAATTATTATATTTTACTTGCTATCTTATCCTATCTCTAGCCATTTCCATCCAAACTATTTATCTTGATATTAAAAATGTAATTTATAACGATATAGGGTGTTCCTGAGAATAAACTAAAATAATAATATTAAAATACCTATACTATAGCTACTGAGAAAAAAGAATATAACCAAATATTTTTTTTTACTTCTCAATTTTTGTACATTACAGAAATACAGCTAAAAATTAAATACCATAAGAAGAAATTGTGGGAGACTGGAACCTAATATAAGCAATTTCCTGCACGTGCTTTAGGCCTCAAGCCCCCCACGTTCAGACATGCAAATTTGTGAGCTGAATTATGAAAAAAAACTATGTGTGTGTGTGTATGAGTGCGCGCACGCGTGTTCGTGTGTCTGCGTGTTTGTGTGTGTGCGCACGACAACGGCTAACTAGAGCCGAGGTCCTAGTCTCAGAGACGCCCTCTAGTTGAGCCGACCCCCTCAGGTTCGAGTGGTCTGGAGCCTCCAGACGGAGAGGAGACTCCCCCCGTGGGGAGACGCCATCCGACTGGAATACCTCCAGATGCACTCGCCAATTCTCGGCTCGAGGTCCCCTTAGGGTCTCGCCGTCCCCAAACCTGGTGACGCTGTAAAGGTCATCTGAGACCAACGGCATACACACTAAAAAAAAAATTGCGTGTGTGTGTGTATGTGTGTACAAATGCGCGCGCGCGTATTGTGTGTGCGTCTGTGTGTGGTGTGTGGGTGTGATGTGTGTATGAGTGCGTGCATTCTTGCGTGCGTCTGTATGTGTGCGCGTCTATGTGTGCGTCTCTATGTGTGCGCCTGTATATGTGCGCGTGCGTGTGTAGAGACAATATTAACATATTTTCATCTAAGGAGATAGGTGAAGGTGTCACTATAATATAATTTTATTAGCTATTGTGTTACTTTATTTTTCTATTTGAATGAATGCTTAACTATTTATTGGCATGATTGAAAAGTCGACTCGCATGGAAGCTGAAAAAGTTGCGAAAAGTTCATATTTGTACACATTATTATTGTCTTCTTGATGTAGATTCCACAGGAGAGCATGATAGAAGTAAGTGCCGCTCTAGTAGTGCAAGGAGTATGTAAAGTTGTCTTTCTGTAACTATATTATAAAGGTTAGAGGTTGGGAAAAGTTTTTTTCTTGAAAAGGCACACCTTAGAATCTTCTTAGTCTGTTCAGTTTAATTAGATTACTTTTAGATGCACTCCCACTATATACTGAATTAGTGCTATGTACACACATTTCATAGTTTTCCTATCTGCAATGTTTCGTAGTTTTCAGAACAAAAAAATTAAAAGTAGCTGTATCACATTCTAAGGCTGCATTGTTTCATCTACAATTAAACTTGACTATAGTTAAAATATTAGAGAAAAATAACACTTTTGTGGGTTCCATAGTCCTGACAAGGAACCCTTAGAGTTTCTTCATGTCTGTCTGTCTGTCCGTTCGAGGTTTTGCTTGGAGACTGTTGGCTCTAGAGAGCTGTACTTTTGTAGAGGTATGTATATCAATCACGCAGACAAAGTGGTAGATTCTTTTTTATAATTTTATTCTACCTCTTTATCAGCATTTTACATCATCTATCCCATCGCGTGAGGTATCGCTGAATAGGTCATTTAAAATTACTGAGTTAGAGGTTGCTAAGACTATTTTTCGATTTAGGGATACGTTTGCGAAATATTAAACTTTAAAGTGCTAAGTTTTGTTGGAGTATGGCGTCCCCCCTCTTAAAGCTAAACTACTGCTGAAATATCTGAAAAAAATCATGATACCTAATAGTGCTCTTTATGAAGTACGTTAAGATAGTCAGTTTAAAAGTAATAATCGTTCTACTTATATATGTATTAGAAAAAATCTTAACTAATAAAATTCTTTATAAGAAATTATTAAAACGATTTCAATTCAAATAAGGCTCCAATTTTTTGAATTGTTCCATCAATATTTTTTAATAAAGAAATGAATTATTGAAAAGTACGAATAAAATGTGGGAAATTCAAATATCTGAAACGCGACAGACCGGTTGTGACGTAGCAATACATAGCAAAACAACAAAAAAACTATCAAGCGTCATGTTTACATGATATGTCAAAGTCAACGAGACTTAGTGCGAAGAAGTAGTGCGGGCGCATGTATAATGCGATTCAACTAAGAATAGGTCCGACTGGGCGCCCTATTGTGATGTCATAGCTGACGATTTAAACCAAATAGGTAGAGTGAGCAAAAAAAATTTTTTCTTTAATAAAACTTATTTACTAAGATTGAGAAAAAAAACACCGATTTTTAATAATATTTATTTATTAAGACTGTGAGAAAAAACATTCATCAGAATCTAGCTCTTCTATTCCGCTCATCTCTGCATTACCGCCGGAGTAGTTATGAATAATCATGGACTATTACTAGGTCACATACGAACATACATCCTTTATGTAAACGAAAGTTTGAAATCGAGTTTCTGAACGCAACTTAAAGTGACATTTGGTTGACGATTTAGGTTATCAACCATACATGGCCAAAGCTCAATAAGTGAAAAAAAAATATCAACCGATATTAATTATCATTATTTGTTATTGTTTGTTTACCAATGTTTGGTTTTTATTCTTGAATTAGCAGAGTGCCAAAGAAGGGTTCTAGGTTTTTTTTTGCAAACCGTACTTTTCAAGCTATATTTGACAGATAGAGGTTATTGGCTTTCCTAATCTTATTTGAATTTTGTAAAAGGGTTCTTAAGAGTAATTTTACAACAATAAAGCTTCGCTTCATACCACATTTACACGTTTGTCTATTCAGTGCCTCTTTTGCTGGCCGCTGCAGTAATGTACTATAATAGTTAAGGAATAGCTGCTATAAATACGTACCTAATGTATTTGTACATATCACAGTGTATATTTATAGCTAAAATGTATGTCTCAGATGACCCGCAGTTCAGCGAGCTTGTGTGGCAAGCGGAAGTAGCGATCGACAATGGCATCTTCCCAGAACGGATATATCAGGGTTCGAGTGGGTCATACTTCGTGAAGAATCCTGGAGGGGTGAGTTGACTGCTTACAATGATTTCGTAGAATTTCTCGTTAGATAAGTTACAAAAGTTAAAATTCGGCAAATAGCAAATTTAACCTTGCACCCATACACTACATCTACTAATGTTGAAAATCGATTGGAGAATTGTGATAGTTTTTGTATTATTTTAAACGGTTGCCAAACAAGCTTTGCAAGCGACCGCCACTGACTATATCAGGCGCTTCCGACTCCAAAAATATCACTTGCGCCCTTGCCTACTCTAACCTGAACCCCTAACCCGTGGAGCCTTGGAACCGACAGAAACACAACACCACCAAATGATAGTGTTATTTCACTGTGGTTTATAAGGTGGAGCATACTTTCCTGAATAGGCTCTCGGGTTTTTTTTTTAATTGAAAGCTGTTAAGAGCGCCTGCTATTATCACACTAATATTATAAAGGCGAAAGTTTGTGAGTATGTGAGTGTGTATGTTTGTTACTTCTTCACGCCTAAACGGTTGGAGCGAATTTAATATAATTTGGTGTGGAGTTAGCTGACACCCTTGATTAACACATAGGCTACGTTTTACTGCTGGAAAATATCTTATTCCCATGGGAAAATCGATGAAAATTAATTTTGTTTAAGTAGGTACATATTTTTTGACATTCATGTCAAAGCTATTTTGATAGAATAATATTTCATACATATTTCTAGGACAAGGATATTGTTGTATTTTTTTGTGTATCTAATTATGACTCGCAAACGTAAACCAAATATTTCACGCTCACAAAGAGCTCTATCCATGAAAATTGCAAGACAGCAAGAATCTACTTATGATATTGAACAGCGCAGACGTGACCAAGTAACACGTCAGGCAGAAGTCAGAACCGGAGAAACATCTGCGCAAGCTGATGCTCGGCGTCAGGAAAATTCTATCCGCATAGCTTCTCAGCGTGTTGTAGAGGCTCCTGATGAGGCAGCTTTTCGGCGTCAAGAAAACGCACAGCGTATGGCCACATAGCGATCCACTCAAACATTTCATGAAGCAACTTCTCGACGGCGAGAGCATGCCCAGCTTATGGCTTATCAGCGTTCTTCTGAGACAGTAGATGAGACAAATGCTCGACGACTCGCAGCCGCTCAGCATGAAGCAGAGCGCCGGCAAATATTTACCTGAAATGCTTGCCGCAGGGCCGTGCCTGACGGGCGTTCATTGCGTGCACCGCACGCAGGCGGCCGAAATTAAGAGGCGGCCAAATCGTTACAAGTTGTTTACTGGGCAAAAATACAATCGGTTTGTTTTCATTATTCCTTGTTCTTTATGTTTGATAATTTTGTCTGTGATTATAAAACCAATACCATAATTTTTTTCATGTTATTATTTTTGTTTAAATTTTAAATAAAAAAATGTTTATTTTGTGCATTTTTTTTCTTAAATTTCATCCAAACATATAAATCTCATAAAACCGGTTTTTAGCCGGTTTTTCTTTTCAGAAACCGGTTTTGGGAACAAAACCAATATTTTTTTTCGTTCTCGATTTCGGTTAACCAAAAACTGATTTTTTTCCCGGTTTGATGCCCTGTGTATAATAATAAACATTAAAAATTAAAGTAGTTTTTTTTAATGTTATCCTGGGGGCGGCCATACAGACTGGCACGCAGGCGGCCATATACCCAGGCACGGCCCTGGGGGTTATTTAAAGAATGTGGTTTTGAATATGGCTCAACATTGGATTACAGTAGCCACAGGCTCATTAAAATATGCCGTATGGAAAATGTGTGTCGCCATTGTGGGGCATTAAAATGGAATTAGGAAAGAGCGGGAATGTGTTGCTCTGGGGGCAAAGTAGCCATTCCTATTTTAGAAGACCCTGTGGAACCCTTAAAAACTTTATTTACAGGTGAACTTGATGAATCTCGACGGTTCTAAAACCGCGTAAAAAAATACAACTCATGCTTTCACATGACGTCATTCGGGGCGGACAAATTCTTACTATGCCTGGATTTTCTCCAACGTTCACAGTGCAAGGCCAACTACATCACAAAATGGGATCACTATTGCCACCATTTAATGAACAGCCACAATTTTTACAGGTGTATTTTATGGGAGACGTCGACGCGGAATCTGACAGACGGTGTCAAATCATTCAAGGCGTGGAACAAGCAACTGTGCCAGGGAGACGAGTTTACTCGCACGTTGCTCTATGTAGAAGTGCCAAGATATTACACGTGAAATGCGTCACGAAAAGAATGGTACATCGCCTGCAGGGCGCATCCGTCGACGGTTGGCCTTAGATGCCCTCAGTAGAATTTATACCGTACACATAACACACTTTGAGTGTTATTGTGTACGGTTGCTGTTGACTAGAATCCGGGGCCCCACCAATCTTCAAGCGCCCAAAATCATCGATGCGCAGGAAAAGGCCACTTTCCAAGAAGCATGTGAGGCGATGGAGCTGCTTGAAGACGACGATCACTGGGACGGAAGGATGGAGTACGCCGTGTTGTGCCGGTCAGCGACTACGTTGAGAGAGCTCTTTACGATTATGATAAGCATCTGCGGACTCTCCAACCCCCGGCAATTGTGAGACAAGTATAAAAACGCTTTGTCAGAAGACATTCTTTGCTCGCAGATACCAAGGCAGGGAGAACACTAACCAACGATGACATAATTTTTAACGAAGCGCTGATACTTATCGAGAATAAAATTTTTGCGATGGTTGGAAAATTATTGCCCGATTTCAGTATGCCTGCCCCATAAAGAACGGAAAAGCAGTCTATTAATTTTGGTCAGAGAGCTTGGTTATTTGGAAAATAATTTGGGGTGAGGGGGCCTCCGCTCCTCTGTTACCCCGAGGCCTCTGGAACTCTAAATCCGGCCCTGATAATGACCATAATGGAAAAATGCTTTTCTCAAATCTTAGGATAGGAGGAGGATAGCTTGACTGGCATAAAAGAGGTTGTGGAAGGCGATAAAGTATGTGCAGCTGAAACAGCGTACTTAATTCTAAGTTCGAAAGCAATTTCAGCGCATTTTGTTACCAAAGGTTCGTCACGCGTGTGTGAGATAAGCATTGAAAATGGAGATATCCAAAACTTGATTTCATAAAGTTTTCTTTTTTTTTGTTCTCTGTGTGTACCTATCGAAGCGTTTCTGCAATGGGACGTCTAATTTAATAATAATAATAATAAATATATCTTTATTCAAATAAGGTCATACATTGCATAAATAATAACTAATAACAATATAAAGTACAAAATAATGGATGCCTGAACTAGGTTACAGTTAAAATTGTACCTGTATTTCAGGCTTTTATGATCTAAATAATACATTGAATGATTAATAAATTAACAAATTAATTAAAACAGAACTTAAAGTAATCATTATATAAATGTTGGTAAATGTAAATTATGGAGTTACGTTCATTTATTTACAAATCAGAAGTAATTCTTCGGTCTGCTCGTATGTCAGGCTGTGCAAATAATTAAATACTACAGTTAAAATAGTTTAATGTATAAATACCTAAAACTCTATTTAACTTATTATATATAAGAAAGGACTTAGGAAAGTAGAGAATCTATGTGAAAAGATGTATTTTGAATCATGTGTAGAGATGCAGACTATATCTTTCCGTCTTTTGTTAGTGATATCAGAGCAAAAAGGTGAAATGGTGTGTTGTTTTAATATGGTGTGCATAATGAAAAGCTGGCGAACAGTTAACACATTACAGTATTTGTAAAGTTGATGCGTAGGATATAAGAAGGGAAGTGAATTGGCTACTTTTAAAATGGCTCTCTGAGCTCGCTCGAGAGGGATTAAAATAGTTTTGAGAGCTCCACCCCATGAAGTTATACAATATTGAATTACTGATTGGCATAAGGCCTGATATACCTGTTTAATTAGTTTTGGACCTGCAACGGTACGTAATTTTTTAAAAATATACATTAATTTACGGATCCTGACTACTAGATTTGCAATATGCTGTCTAAAAGATAATGTGTCGTTAATTAAGATACCAAGATATTTTATATGGGATGTGTTCTGTATTAAAGGGCAATCGCATTTATTGACTGAAGGATATTGGCATTGGTGTGCGTATAAGTTAGGATTTGTAAAAACATGACAAGGCTGGCGCATAGGAAAATGAATATAATTGGTTTTGTCAGTATTCAGTGTTAGTAAATTGCAGCGAAGTCAGTTATTTACACCATTAAGACCAAGTTGAGCTACCTCATATAATTCTGACCTACTATTGGCGCTAAAAATCAAGGCCGTATCATCGGCGTAAGATATAATTTTACCACATTTTAAATTAAGGTTACATAAATCATTGATGTAAACGAGAAAAAGGGTAGGGCCGATTATACTTCCCTGGGGAATACCATAGCAGGTCATTTTCTGGTAATCACTTTTAATATTTCCTATTTTAACGCATTGAGATCGATTGTCTAAATAACCTGCAAACAGTTTTAACTGCGTTCCTCTAATACCCAATGCTTCCAACTTTTTTAGAAGCTTTGATGTGTGCTTTGTGTGCAGTCTTTACAATTCATTATTTATTTTTGTAATTATATTTAAGGCAACAGCCAGTAATTTCATCTTAAAAATCACATATAAGAGTAGACTAGAAGTATTGCTCAATGTTCTTCTGTGACTCCTATTACACCGATTCACAGCGACACATTTTTGAATGAGCAAACATTAAACTCCATTTGTGGGGAAAGAGATTTTCAAGCACAATATCTCTTTTTTGGTACAAATGAGACATACGATAGCCCAACCTCCGTAGTCGTCAAGATTCCACAAAAATATCAAAAGCCTAAAATCTATTTTTAAACTTTGAACCATAGACATGGACTGAGTATTCGCTCTCCAATAGTAAAGTACAACTAAAGTTAATGTGAGAGATACTAAGGAGCCGCCATACACGGGCTGCTTGAAGCATGTGAAGATTAACTACAGTTTTTATTTATACACATACACAAACCGCTCAAGCTGCCAACAGCTCAATTTTTGCAGTTGTACTGATGTGGTAGCACACGAGACACTATTTGAATATCAAATATTTTTTTATAAAAACAAGCCATGCAGCTTTTTTTTATTTATATTTTGATTATAGCTTGTTGAGCAGTTATCAATGGCAAATTCAAGCTATTGACTCTCACCGAGCAGTCCGTGTATGTTATCACTGGCTTACTGATCAAGTAGTCCGTCTATGGCCGCTCTTAAGGTCGAGCGAATTCATAGTTCATAAAGGTATTGATAGTTTCCTTCGGGTTTGATGTTGTAAAGCCTAATTCTTGTACGTCACCAGCCTATTAATGGTTTTGACCACTTCATTAACAAAGCGTGACTCGACAACAAGTAACCCATTAAAAAGAAAACTGTTTTACTTGCAATAAAATAATTGTCACATCAGTATCAGAACTTCAGAAAATGTTTTTTTTTTCTAAAAGTATATTTTTTTTTATCCTTTTGCACACTGTATGTACTAAAAGGAGACGATTAATTAACGAAATGGTTGAATCCAGAAACAATCATATTATGAGGTAGTCTTTAGCAGAAGTTGTCAAAACAAGATATGGTCGTATGCAGAGGGAGTCATTTACAGAAGTGGTCTCATAACTTCAAACACGTCTCTTCTCTCTGTCTTCTAGAGAGTTCTCATTTTCATGCGTATATCGCTCAGTCCTTACTCTTTATGTATTTTGTACCTCACCAATAAGGTCGAAAATCGATTAAATATCCCCTTGCTGCTTACCCTAATAAATTTACATGTTTTCAGAAAATCATAGGTGTGTTCAAGCCAAAAGACGAGGAGCCGTACGGACGACTTAACCCAAAATGGACCAAGTGGATGCACAAGCTGTGCTGTCCGTGCTGCTTCGGGCGGTCTTGCCTGATCCCCAACCAGGGCTACTTGTCCGAGGCCGGCGCCAGCCTAGTCGACTCCAAGATCGGCCTCAAGATCGTGCCAAAGACAAGGGTATGTTATTTATTGTCGTCATCACCAGCTTATTAATGTTAATTGACGCCCATGGGACAGGCGTTTCCTATGTATGGAATAGTGAGATTGGGCCATGATCTATCACGCGGGCCCAGTGGGGATTGGTGGGTGCTAACAACTGTAGATGCAGCCGGGACAAACGGGTTAACGTGCCTTCCGAAGCACAGAGGAGCTCAAAATAATAAGTTTTGGTCACCCATCCAAAGACCGACCATTGCAAAAGTTGCTTCACTTCCACAATTGGAGGCGGAACGCGCTTTCCACCTGCGCTATGGAGCTCCTCTTTACTATGTATATTTCATTATCTGTGAGGTTGCTGAATTTAGCAATCAACAGACAGGACATATTGGTACACATTCACAGAGAAGAGACCCATAGTAACAGCCTAGACCAGAGGTTCTCAAACTACATCAATGCTATTGGTATATTATTTCGTAGTATAACTTTTTAATTTTGAAATCATTTTTTAATTATTTGTATAACTAGATAGACGTAGGATAAACCACATCTAAAAATCAAGATTTGCTTTGGCTAGTTTTCAACATACATGTTACGGTATTGTTTTTATATTGTAAGGTCATATCTTACTCTTCTAAAAATTTGGCATAAAACATAAAATTTCATGCTCTTATGTTAAATAGATCTTAAGTTATTAAGGGGTCAAAAGTAATTCGCATTGTTTTTTGTAATATATCACACGGCTTGACACGCAAATCGAACCTGAGTTAGCAATGAGTCAAAATAATGCCCATTATTAAATGGTAAAAATTTCCTCTATTAGATAATAATTGTTTATTGGAACAAGTCATCAGAGTGAAACAAAACAAGTATTACAATACCTAGCCCTCGAATGGAGGAATCATGAATTAATTTGAAGGTTGTTTTGTTGCGGATAAGAGTAGGGGAGAGCGGGGCTAAATGTTACCGAGGTAGGTTGTTCCGATTGAAATAACTTTGCGTGGAAAAGAGATAACAATATTTAGTAAACACGGCGTGAAATGGAACGCCACAGCGCACCGTCCGCCGCCATCTTAAGCAGGCCAGTGGCACCCGAAACATCGGTATAACATCACGTGCGTCACTGGTTCACGTAAGTAAATATTTTCGTATTTGGTATTTTTGGTCTTTCTCGCGAATTTTAATGATAAGCCTCTTGTATTTTAGTGTTTTAATTAAAGCATTTGTCTACTGTTTCGGTTCACTTTGCCTAAATTACATATGTTTCGTAACCTAACCTATATCATGCATTTTTTTCAACACGTGCGTTTGGGGCTAAATGTTCCTTTTTTCGGGGACACATTGTGACCTCGGAACAACTTGCCCCAATTTATTTATATAAACAATGGAATAAAAATATTGTAATTTTTCTTTTGTAGTATGCGGACTTATACCCGAAAATCAACACGAGGTTCTGTATCACAAGAGTTGATGCAAAAAGCAGCAGATGCAGTTATCAAGGATGGCAGGAAAATAAAAACGGTTGCCAGAGAATTAGATATTTGTCATATGTCATTATACAGATTTGTTAAAAAGCTAAAGTCTGGAGTAGAAAATATCACTATTGGCTACAAAAAAGTAAGATTGGTCTTTACTGAAGAACAGGAAGATAAATTAGAAGAATATTTGTTGAAATGTGCTTCAATTTTCTTTGGTCTTTTGCCAGAAGAAGTCAAAAAAAATTAGCATACGAATGTGCATTGAAATTCAACGCTCCCAATATTCCACCATCTTGGCATGAAAACAGAAAAGCTGGCCCAGACTGGCTGACAGGTTTTTTAAAAAGAAATCCTCGCCTGTCAATAAGAGCGCCGGAGTCAACAAGTGCCAGCAGGGCGACATCTTTCAACAAACACAATGTTAGCGAATTTTTCACAAAGCTAAGCACAGTGTTGGATAAGTATAAATTTCCGCCTTCCAGAATATACAATTTAGATGAAACTGGCGTTACCACAGTGTTAAAGCCGAGAAAAATCATTGCCAAGAAGGGAATTAAGCAAGTTGGAGCCATAGTATCTGCTGAACGAGGGACATTAGTTACAGTTGAACTGGCAGTAAATGCATTAGGTCATGCAATTCCTCCCATGTTTATTTTCCCAAGACTTAAATATAAGGATTTATTCTTAAAAGGTGGGCCACCGGAATCTATCGGCGCAGGAAACAGTTCAGGATGGATGACTGCCACGGAGTTCCTGATATATATGGATCATTTTATCAAGCATACCAAACCATCACCTTCAGATCCGGTTTTATTGTTACTCGATAATCACCAATCCCACATTGATATTAATGTGGTGGAAAAAGCGAAATCTAACTCCATTATTATGTTATCATTCCCCCCTCACTGCACACACCGCCTACAACCATTAGATGTTGGAGTAAATGCACCTTTCAAAAACTATTGTGCAAAGGCTCAGGACAATTGGCTACGCAATAATCCTGGCAAAACGATGTCGATATATGAGATCCCAGAAATAGTTAGATACGCGCTACCCCTTGCAGTGACTCCGATTAACGTAATGAGTTCTTTTAGAAAAGCTGGTATTTGGCCTTTTGACCCCAACGTATTTACAGAAGACGACTATGCTCCATCATATGTTACAGATCGGCCTTTAGCTTCAGTAAATCCATCAGATATGGCTTTAGGTGCCAATTCAGAAGAAATATCAGAGACTGTTACTAAAATAAATGATAATGTAGCTGTAACTGTAAACATTAATACTGATGAAAGACAAATATTTGTTGAGCCAGGGCCATCGGGGGTTATTAATCTACCTGCATCTTCTGGTGTCATAGAAAAACACAAAGATCAAGACCCTTTCTGTCCAGAAGCAGTTCGTCCCCTTCCGAAAGCACCGCCAAGGATTGGAACAAACAAGAGACGTCTTAGAAAGTCTACTATTTTAACTGATACTCCAGAAAAACTAGCTTTAGCAGAAGAGCAAAGCAAGAAAAGGAAAGTGAGCGTCGGCAATGAAAAAGTGAGAAAAGACAAAGGAAAGAGGAAGGGTAAAACAAAGCAAGGAAGTGGAAAAGGAAAGGGAAAAGGAAAGGGGAAATTTGTTAAACGACAGATTTTACAAACGAGTAGTGAAAGTTCTGAAAGTGAAGAGGACAATTTGGAGTATTATTGTCTAGTTTGCTGTGACAGTTACTCTAATTCACGTTCAGGAGAAGAATGGGTTCAGTGTCAAAAATGCAAGAATTGGGCTCATTCCAGATGCAGACTAAATCAAAACTTAACCTACCTATGCCCAAACTGTGATTCTGACATATCTTCTGATGATTAATTATAAGTATATATGTATGTTCTCTGTCTATGATGGCAATATGATTGTTTTTGTTTTTAGCCTAAGGCAAGTTATATTGATTGAAGACTGAACTAATTATCAAGGCTGATTAGCTACAAGTTATTTGATAAGCTGTTAATTATTAAAAGACTAATAATTGTTTAAGTAAAATTATAGTTACTTGTTATATTACATATAAATGTTAAACAGATAATCCATACGAAACTGATTAGTGCTTAAATAAACAGACTCAGTTTTATCATTTATTGGTTTTTATTTCACAAATAACAGCTTTAACTGGTACGGTAACAATTTACCCCGACTTGTTAACAACTTGCCCCAAGTCGGGGTAAGTTGTTGCTTCCCGACTTTAGGCATTAAAAAATTTATAATAAAAAAATCTCACTAAAAATGTCCTAAATAACTATCTTAATACCAAAGTAAGATATGTAAGTTGATTTTGATTGCATTATATTAATTCTGAAATCAAAGTTTCGTAACAATGTTCGAGGTTAAATAAAAATCGGAACTTGTAGCCCCGCTCTCCCCTACGTAAAATACAATTAACAACTAGTGGGAGCCCGCGACTTCGCCTGCGTGGAAAATTTGTTATCCCATACAAATTTCCATATCCCATATCACCCCCTTAAAGAATGATATCTGGGATTTAAATTATCTTGTCTTTTCCCGGGGCTCTAATTATCTTTATTCCAAATGTCTTTTAAATCGGTACAGCGGCTAAGGGCGCTTGTTAAAGACCGGTTTTCGCCGGGTCTAGGAACAAGCGGCTAAGCTTCTTCACAACCAAGGTTTGTGCGTTTGTACCGACGACCCCAAACGTGCCCAAACCGTCGCTAGCGATGGTTCGGTGTTGTTAACACGCCTCTGAGCCGGACGAAGACACGGTTTTCAGCCTTGCTTAGACCCGGGTATAAAACGTCTTGTTGACCTTAGGCGTAAAGAGAACAGACAGACACACTTTCGCATTTCTCATATTAGTAGTATAGATTTGCCAATTGTATCACACGTTTTATTTAAATGTAATATGAGGTCAAGGTAATCTAGAAGAATGAACTGTTATCAACGTTATAATAATAATGTTAAAACGTAATAACAGTAAGTAAGTACATACATACATTTGAATGAGATTACGGTTAATGGAGACAGTATCGAAAAAACTATGATAGACAGAATCAATTTTAATCAGATTAAAACTTTTTCGACGTCGTATTGTGCGTTGAAGCTAAAATACTTTAATTAAATACAAGCCTAGACAGCGTATTAACTGCACAGATGTGCCTTAAAAAATATCTACTACACATTATGGTAGATACGCTCGTCGCTACAAACGCACACATTGACTGCTTGAAAACAATAGGGTAGTTGACTCATGTCGAATTGTATTAAATAAATGTTTATTTCTTAAAGTATTTGGTCAAAGGAACCTAAATATATCGATTTCACTTCATAGAAGCAAAAGATTGCTGTAGAAATTTAATTTAAAAAATATTTTTTAGTCTATATTTTTTAAACACTAAAAACGCTGTTCGCTACATTCATGATTGTGACGTCTCTTGTTGTAGTAAACAACGAAATGTCATTCGCGTGTTACTGTGGGTGGATTCTTTCGTCAGACTAAATTTATCTTAAAATACTTTTAACTTTAGAAAAGTTTCCGTTTACTGTTTTTTT